TATATATATATATATATATATATTTAAGGAATCAATCCAAATTAAAAGACCCTTTTGACATTATGTGTGCATATCCATGTCTACGTACCTCGCCGGTATAAATGATACTGCGAATCACCATATCGGCGATATCATAAGAGAAACCCTCGAGACAACTTTCTTGGTTGGTAATGGCAGAGCTGACAAGGGTCTTGAGATCTCCGGCATGGTTCCGGCCAGTTCCACCGTTAGGGTACGACAACAACTTCGCCGCGGCTCCTTGGAGATCTTCGAGGGTCACCTCTATATTCTCCACACAATCGTTAACGGCGGTATTCGCCCTCGGAGACAAACCTATCCCCGTTATAAGGAGACCCTTAACGGTAGAATAACTTTCTTTAACGGCGTAAGCGGTTACATCCAACAACGCCTTGATAACGTCTTTCTGAGAAGTGATGTTCTGGCCGGCAATGGAGGCGACGGCGAAGTAACAGAGGTCCGGTAATGGCGTCGAGCTGCATGAGGATCTTACGACAGCCTTGGAGGAAGCAGACAACGTCGTGTTTTTGTTCGGTTTGGATTCTCCGGCGACGGAGATGGCGGTAATAACGAGAAAACCAAACAAGAATAAGAGATTCTTGTTCGTTTGGCTTGCCATTGTATTATTTTGCTCATGCAGGCTTTGTGGCTATAGGAGAAAGGTAGGGATTATATTGTTGGAAATATATGGTAAAAAAAAAACAAAATTATAAAGAATAGTATTTTTTTCACGACTTTTAATTTTGGTTTTTATTTGAATAAATTTGGATTATTCCTAGGCCCATTTTAGAATGGGACATAATGTACTTCTTTGGTACAAACAAGATTATGCAGGAGAGGTAACTCAAATCAAATTCACTCGTTTCAATATGGTTGAAGTTTATGGTTTCGAGTTTCCTATAGAATATTATTAAATATACTACTAAGATGTACCTCGAATTATGGGGGTTATAAAACTTTATAAAAAAAGACTGGTTTGTTTTTGTTTTTGGCGAAAAAAAGATTGATCATAATGTTAACGGTAATGAAAAAAATAGATTTATAAAAATTAAAATCGATTTTTTTTATTATGTGATAAGATAAATCAAGAATTTGTATTTGAATTGTGACATAATTCACTATTATATTTTTTTATAAATATATAGTATTAAAAGTTTCTAATTTATTTAGACATTTATAAAGATTTAATGATTTATGTCACCATTTAATAAACACAAGTTTATGATTTATTATTTAATAAATTATAATTTATTTGAATATCAAAATATAAAAAATAATAAAATAATATAAATTAAAGACAAAAACTAGTTCATAAATGTGTTGAAAAAAAGATTTTATATGGTGATGGGAAAGGAATGTTACTATCGAATAAGATGCCATCGCAGAATTAAGAAGGAAGATACGATTATGTATCATATCCAAGGGAAAGATACTTTTTTTTTTTTGGTAAAAAAAACATGAAGAGGGAAAGATACTTAGTATCTCATTTGTCTTTATCGTCATAATACATATGCGCATATATATATATATATATATATATATATATATATGCGTACAAAATTGGTATTTTGTGGCTCAAATTCGCTTCTTATCTTTTTCTCATAAATGCTAGTACTTATAATATTTATTATAAAAATAAAATTTTAATGCAATAGTAAATATAAGTTGTATTATACAAAATGAATTGATACCGAAACTTAATCGTTTAAGAAATAGAGAAAATTTTATAACTATTATTTTTCGGAAATATATTGTATAACTTCGGAAATTATCTGGATTTTTTGTGGTTTAATTCTAAAATTTTGGGCAACCATGTGTTTATTTGTGCCACTGCAAATGAATTTTATGTTTGGTATCCGTGATGAAAAATCAAATATATAAAAAATAATATTCCTTTTGGCAGATTTTATATATATGTATAAAAAATCTCACAGAAATAAGTGAAATTATAAACATATTAATTTTTAACATATTACTAGGTTTTGGTCAAAAGTATTACAAACAATAACACAGTTAAATAATAGTAGCAGATTTTATATTTTAAAGATAACGTCATCAGACAATTATTAACCTATACAGTCGAAAGTTTTTGTAAATCAAATATATTTTAATATCATCGTTATTTCGGTAATATTTTACAAATCTATCTATTTATAATTTTTTAAAATAATTCATATATTTATATGGAAAAAATATATGTATTTAGAATATTTTGACGATTTAATTTACTTTTAACAATTTTATTTTATATATTTATAAATAAATTTTAATTTGATATTTATAGGAAAATTTCAGATGTAATTATCACCGACGCTTATGCCCTTTATATACCACAATAATCCTTAGGTCCGAAAACAATATTCAAAGACTACTTTGCAGTAAGATAATTGAGATAACAATTAGTCTTGGTTATTTCCGTTTAGCTCGGGTTCGATTTGATTATATTTGAGTTTGATTATTTTGATTTTAAAAAAATTTAAAGTATTTCGGTTTTTAAATCAAAATCAATTTGATTTTAACAATTGTGTACTATGGAAAGAAAATGTACAAATCGGGTTAGAGGTAATGGGTTTGCTGGATACTCTCTACGATGATCCTGCAACCTGGAAAATGGAGGAAATTAGGGGTGGCATTCGGTTCGGTTAATTTGGTTATTAACCGAACCGAGCCGAATAAAAGTATTTCGGTTATTAACCAAACATAGTCAAATAACCATACCGATTGGTTATGATTTTTCAAAACCCAAAATAACTGAATCCTAACCGAACCGAATCGATTAAAAATTATTAACCGTTTGGTTATAATTTTTTATAAACCAAATTAACCGAACCCGAATCGAATCGTTTATATATCTCCATTTATATATATCTACATACATATATGAATGTTTATATACTTAATTTAATCATTATTTTATTATATTTTAAACGTAATTTATCATTGTTATTATTGTTTTTAAAATTTGTGATATAAACATTAGAAAAAATTATCTTTATTTATTTAATAGTTTTATATCAAAATATGAATTTAGATATTATTATTTTATATGTTAAAATAATTACGATAATATTTTATATTGTATTTTATTTGAATATTTTTAATTATAAATGAATTTATTTTTTAAATATTAGAAAAAATCGCATATAAATACCCCAACTTTTACAAAAATATACATAAATACCTGAACTATAAAATTTTTGTTGGGTTTTCCTGGGATCTCATGAGCGAATCATATTCCTAAGAGATCGATTCTAGGGTTTGCGCAGCGGATATAAAACAAAATTTAATAAACCCTAGAACCATGCTTCTAATAAATCGTAGAAACGTTAGAACGCTTACCTCAATCGATCCGGGGCCTGTATCAACTGAAGAATTCGTCCGATCACTTAGGGAGGAAGATTACCTCGCCCTCTACACGTATCCACACCTCGGGATGGATTCCAACGATTGGAACTTGTCTGCTAGGACCCGAATCTCTATTCGATATGTGCACCGAGAAATCTCGAGACTTAGAACTCGTTTTTGGATCTCCAAAAACTCACACTTTTCTGCAAAAGTCGGCTGTTCTTCGTCTCTTCTTAATTAGGGTTTTAATCTCTTTCTTATAAAGTGATTTAACCCTAATTCGGTTTAATTTCGGAAAAACTGAAGCCCGGAACGGACGGTCCAGAGATACACGCGGACCGTCCGTTCCAGCACGTGGAACGGACGTTCCGCTCACGTGGACCGTCCGGTCTGGTTCGGGCGGACCGTCCGTTCTGGACTTTCTGGTCCGTCCGTTCCAGCCCCTTCCGTCTCGGTTTTTCGTCGTTTTCTCTCGTGCATTTGTCCTTCCCTGCGTGTGTGACCCTGTAGGCTCATTCGACATAGCAGTATAACCTGAAATCCCTATTTCGGGTATACAAGTCATAGGCGGTCTCTAGCAAGACACTATGACTACCTATCTCGAATAGAGTTTGTTCGTGATCATACGAACGCCAGTGATGATTCCGGCTGATGATCCTTTTGTATCGCGATATCATATGTCGAACATAAGGCATGGACAAGCCACCTTATCTGATTTGACTGCTTTCTCGTTAACTGAGTTTGACTGTCTGAAATAGACGACGTTCGTCTATAGTGCGGCCACGCATTTCTACAGTCTCGCTCACACGAGGGGCCCAGCGATATCTCTCTCTTTTACGAGAGGTACAAATTCCGTCTTGACTATCTACAATCCAGTACATGATTCGTTTCGTACCTGATATACGCCTTTATAGTCCTCCTGTTACGCAGGACGTTTGACGTAATCAAAGCACGCAACTCCTCATGTTGGATTCTGTAGATATCTCAGGTCTTAGGATCCGATCATGGAACCGTCATATGAGATTCAAGTCATGACGCTAGTCCATGTGACAATCTCATGCGGGTCATTCCAGTATTCCGTTCTCCAACGAATACCTATGATTGTGATCGTATCCAATACTTATGATCATCTATGTGATCATCAATCACACATCATACTAGTCTTATTATGTCGTTATTCCCATAACGACATAAGACTAGGGAGTTTAGTATCATTCATAATGATACATGGATTTCATAACAGATCTAGCATGCAAGAACATGTAATGAATAAAATACTCTCATAAAACCACATAGAAAGTATCAATACATCGAATGTATCTGAACAAAGCTCATAATCAGTACATCATAGAGCACTAAACCAACAATTTTCATATAAGTATTTAAAATTTTCTAAAATCCTATATAAATACCTATACTTATGAAAAACTCCCAAATAAATCCAAAATACGTGAATAATATCACCTATTTTTATTTGAAAAATATATAAAATTTGGAATTTTTTTTAAAGTTTAGATATTTATATAAGATTTTTAAAAATTCAGGTATTTATATGGAGATTTTATAGTTCAAGTATTTATATAAATTTTTTGTAAAAATTTAAGTATTTATATGTTATTTTTCTTAAATATTATAATTGAACCGAACCGAATCTTTATTTGGTTATAGTTTGGTTATAGTTTTAAATAGACAAAACTGAGCCGAACCGAACCGAAATCGAACCAAATAAAATTAATTAACCGTTTAGTTATGAGTTTTAATAACCCGAAATAACTGAATCTGAAATAACCGTAACCGACCGTTCGCCCACCCCTAGAGAAAACCATAGCTCAAGATTTAGATGCAATGACTCCTACAAAGATAACCTGACCCAGACTGAGACTACATATACTCTAGCTTCAGTGTCTGCTATCTCCACTGATTCAGTTTCCAGAATTGAGGATAAAGACATAATCATTCAGGACTTTCAGAAGAAAGCTGAACGGAGTAGACGCACAAGGAACCTGATAGTATTGTGCCTTTCAGATTGAATTCTCAGACAAGTAATCCAAGAACAAACAACCTTTGGGTTGTGGGTTGTGGAATCTATTGGAGAAGTAACACCTGGAACAGACACTTCCAAACATGTATTTTGTGCAGAGAATTTCTGGGTCTAAGATGGAAGAGACCAAATCCATTGAAGAGAATCTAAACGTATTTCAGAAACTCCTCTCGGATTTGCAGAATCTTCAAGTGAAGGTGGATGAAGAATACCAAGCAGTATATCTACTAAACTGACTACAATCTCCCTATGAGTAGTGA